TGCAACATTGAAGTCAAAGAGTGAAGCTATAGTTAACTTCCGGTTATTTCAGAGATTGCTGTTTATCATTCCTATATATAATATATACTATATAATTTTTTATGTGAGGCATGCTTTTTAGCAATAAACCCTTAGATGTGCAAACATTACGGTTAGTATATTTCTCCAGTGCAGGGAAACTGTCTTTTTAAGTGGTTTCTACTGTCAAGCGTTGGCTCTCTTGTAGCCATCCAATACACTGCTAACCTGTCTCAACTAGTATAACCCCCATCAGAGTTCTGTTGAAGATTATATGGTCAGTATCTCACTAGACATATACATTTTTTATTTATGTGTTCATTTGCTTTTCATTAAACTGCTGTTTTTTATTGACAGCATCTGTAACTAAGGGCTTGTCATAGCGGGATCAGATCACAACATTTCCTAAAATAACAAAATATGTTAGTTTAAGTGTATGCATTAGATAAATAAATAAAATGCAATTTTAAGTAACAGGTATAGAGGAGCATTTGGTTTTACATTGTTCATGTAGATAGATAGATAGATAGATAGATAGATAGATAGATAGATAGATAGATAGACAGACAGACAGACAGACAGACAGACAGACAGACAGACAGACAGACAGACAGACAGACAGACAGACAGACAGACAGACAGACAGACAGACAGATAGAATAGATAGATAGATAGATAGATAGATAGATAGATAGATAGATAGATAGATAGATAGATAGATAGATAGATAGATAGATAGATAGATAGATAGATAGATAGATAGATAGATAGATAGATAGATAGATAGATAGATAGATAGATAGATAGATAGATAGATAGATAGATAGATAGATAGATAGATAGATAGATAGATAGATAGATAGATAGATAGATAGATAGATAGATAGATAGATAGATAGATAGATTCATTCATTGCTCATTCATTGCTTGGGGATTTGGGAGCCAAATCAGATTTGTCTGCACAAGGTGAGTAGTCCAGAAAAAAAGCTTAGATCACTTGGCTGCTGTGTACCATGCTTACACTCATGCATAAACAACAGCTAATTGGCATTAACTCTTAGGAGCAAGTGCTTAGCACACTTACAGGGCCTAGCTGTGATGAAACTGTGACAGGAAGAAAACAGGAACTACAGCAAATCCGTTTGTAGGTCAAGAAGACATATAAGAGTGATCTAGAACAGCTTGGAATGCTCAGAAATTGAGTTAACCTCTTTCAAGCTGCATTAAGTTTCCATTACTGAACTACCATATATTCTTAATACAACAGATACATTCTGTTAATACATTTAAACATTATTGATATTACTGTGGTGACATATGATTTTGGTGGACTTTTAAAATTTTTTTTTCTTTTTCTTTGTTTGGTGTGGTTCATGCTACAAGCTGAATGTGGCAAAGAGGCTCTGCTCTCCCACCTCCCTGAATGAAGACACTGCCATTGTTAATTAGATCATTCCTTATATCAGTGTTCACTATATTCGGTATATCAGTAGAAGATTCACTGTCACAAAACACCCTGTTATGGGTTCTCATTATGGACCAAGGTCAGGTCACATTTTGTTTCTCTGCCCAGTTGTTTGGTCCAGATCAGGAAGGTATTCACAGCTTAAGAAAAAAGCCTGTAACAAGGGAGGTAATAATCACTGGTCCATATGAAGCACAATAAATGTGGCAAGTGTGATTACACGCTAAATCAGTTTATCAGTGTGGTGCTGAGGTGGCTCTATTTGACTGAATCACCTAAACAATATTTACTTATTTTCAACCATGTTTTCCTAACCATGCCATTTTGTTTTGGCATGGTTGAAAAGAAGGGGAAATATAGTGATCCACAAGGGAGATGTGTCATTATCACTATTAGTCTCCTAAATATGTCTCAGGCCCACATTTTTTTAAGGCTATTCATTAACTTTGGCTTGCTAACTGGTCATGTCACTATTGATTTTCTCACAGTGGAAGAAATGTGTGGGAAGTGATATCCCCCTGCTGGTCAGATGCAAAATCATGTTTGTTTTTTTAAATCAAAATTATATGTATTACCCACCCATACTATTTAGTATGTGTTGTTCTTTTTTACATTAAATTGATTTCTGTTGACAGAAATCAATTTAATGTAAAAAAGCCATTCAATTTAATGTATTCAAAGCCAGACTCAAAACCCATCTGTTCCAGCTCGCTTATCTGTGAATACACTGCTCTTTACCCTATCCATAATTGTTTTTATGTTCCTGTATTTGTATTTTTGTATTTTCATCTTTCTTTTTATTTTTTGTATTTTCTGTAAAGTGTCCTTGAGTGTCCAGAAAGGCGCTGTTAAATAAAATGTATTATTATTATTATTAGAAGGACCATTTATTTTGATGATCCACACCAAAATAGATTAGTTTGCATTATCAAAAGTGTCCCAAGAGGTGAAATTGGAAAAAAAAAGCAACATACTGGGCTTTTTAAGTTGCATCTGTGCTCAATATTTTTAGCATTTCTCCCACTAGTTTCATACAAAAATAAAAAACATTCAATTTGTTTATTTTGTGAATTTTAAAAATTTGTGTAATATATATATATATATTGTAATATATATATATATATATATATATATATATATATATATATATATATATATATATATATATATATATATATATATATATATATATATATATATTACTCAGAATAAAATCATAAATATACACTTTATTTATAGATACTTGTTATAATCATGCAACAAAAAATTTATATATCTATTTTCACTATGAAAAAAATATAATGAAAATAAAATGATGGATATGCTGTTCAAAGAAGATATGGCGCTGACGGTCACCCTGGATAACATTAAACTGGTGGAATGATCTTAATAAGATGATGATTTAATAACAAATGTATAAAGAATATTTAGCTCTGATGTTTATTTAATTGGTTATTTAACAGGGATCTCATTGTTGGTCTTTTGCAACTGATCACACTCTAGGTGTTCATCCCTGCTTGAAGGAACTAAAACTGCCTCTCTCCAGATTGGATTAACCTCAGCATTCCCTTGCCTTACAATACCCTTGCCACGGTATCAGTAGCTTAGTGCAAGTGCCACAGAGTTTGTTTTTCATCCGAACACATCAGTGGTCAAGAAAATACAATGCCGGGTCAGATTTATTGTGGAAGAAATTGTGAGATCAGCTTGACAATGCTGGGAAATGGAAAGTAAAATCCAGGATTCATTTGGTAAACTGGTCTGTAAGTCTTTGTTTGTCTACAGATGAAAGCAGATTTTCTTACTTTTATTTATTACGGTATTTATTTATTTATTTATTTATTATTTTTTTTAATCTCCAGATAAGGAAATTGTGTGTGGGTCTGAATGAAAGCTGATATTTTAAATCTCTGCCTGGAACCTTTCTGGATGGAGCTTTGAAACTTTCCTCTAATTTATTAAAGTGAACTAGATCCTTAGCGTTTTGTCTTGTTTTCTCTCTTGTTTTTTTTTTTTTTTTTTTTTATTACAAATGGCCAACAGAATAACCAGCATATAAAACTGGTAAATTGAGTGAATTTATAAGTTGAACTTTTCCAGCCATTCTAAGCACTTAAAGCACTTTACACTATAGGCACATTTATCCAATTGTGCTCCAGTGCACAAACATTCATCCACTGATACATAGAGATAGACAAATATAGTGTAATGACTTGTTCTTCTTGGTTTATACAAATTAAAAAGAACATGAACACCATACAATTGGGAAAAATATTCAACAAAGGCCCGACAGTAGCCTACCTGGAACATGCATTGTTTTTCCAAATATTGTCTGCTTAATGTCATATTTACAGCTAACAGTAGATATTGGGAAATTACATGTAATAACATTCAATTATAAAACAAAAATTTCCAAAGTATGATTAGAAAAAAACAAATAACACAAAATATACAGATCCAAAAATAAACAAGAATGCTGGATACCTAACAAATGTGAGGCGAGAACAACGTATATCTAATAAAGAAGAATACCGAGAAACGTCAGTCCAAGTGAAAATCCCTCAAGATTGTGACAAGTTATACCAACCCTGCCATATGTGAAGAATTAATTGCCTAGTAATTGCCTTGTAAATATGATAATAGCCCCCATATTCTTGGGTAAAGGCTAATTACACTACAAAGACCCCTAATTTCTTTGAGACTTAAGTGTACCACAGTTATAGCTGTTATCCATTAAATGTTGAAAACATGGAAAAAGTGGCCATGCATCCAACAGTACCCCAACAGTACATCGACGTCTCATCTAGTAGACCAGAAAAGATCTCAAAACAACATCTGAAGCCTTGCAGGCCTCATTTGCCTGAGCTAAGGTCCATGTTTATAATTCAGAAATTAGGAAGAGAGCAGACAATAGTTACCTGAATCGGTACTGACTATGAAGAACATAAAGGTCTATCTCAGATTTACAAAAGAAAATTAATTATCCTAATAACTATAAAAAAGTATAGTAAATAACCTTCCCATTCAGAATACGTGCTTGTGGGATTTGTTTTAGTTATAAGAAGCAACAGTTGACTAACAGTTTATAAAACACCTCAAGAAAACTTTGTCCATCTTTATTATAATCTGATGCGTGGATGATGGACATTTGTCGTACATTTGTCGTACATTTCTGTATGTCTCACATTTATGCACACTGAGGCTAAAAATTTGTTAGAAATCAATCAAAGCATGTTTGTATTTTACAATTACGGTTCAAATTCTTAAATGTGGCTGTAGGTTTGCAGTGAAAATAAATTATTTCCAATAATGGGTAAGAATAAGTAAGAACAGTAATTTATCATGAAACATAGACTTCATTTCAAGCAGAAGGGAGTAATTAAATCAAAGGACATTATACTGTGGTGCTATCTTAAAGTCAATTATCCATCAGACTTGAGTTCGTCACTTCCTTACAATCCTCCCATAATCTAATTTTTCTAATTTGGGGATAACCCTGAGCAGGTATAAACCACTCAAGATCCACACAAACTACCAGTTGTCAGGTTGACATTGACCACTCCAAGGCTTTAGGCAATTCTATCAGTTGTAGCATCTACACACAAGACAACCAAAGATGGGCTGGGATGGAGGATACGAGCCCAATGGTACTGAGGGAAAAAACTTCTACATACCGATGTCCAACAAAACCGGCATTGTCAGAAGTCCCTTTGAATACCCACAGTACTACATGGTGGACCCAATGATGTTTAAGGCCCTAGCCTTCTACATGTTTTTCCTGATCTGCACCGGAACTCCCATCAACGGCCTGACGTTGCTTGTTACAGTTCAGAACAAGAAATTACGGCAACCCCTCAACTACATCCTTGTGAATCTGGCCGTGGCCGGGCTCATCATGTGCTGCTTTGGCTTCACCATCACCATAACATCTGCTTTTAGTGGTTATTTCATTCTTGGATCCACCTTCTGCGCTATTGAAGGATTCATGGCAACACTTGGAGGTAAGACAAAAGCTCCTTAAGACTTAACGAAGATCATTTCACTGTTTGGCCAACATTTAATGATATCTTACATTTTTTCTCCCTACAGGTGAGGTTTCTCTCTGGTCCTTGGTTGTGCTGGCTATAGAGAGATATATTGTCGTATGCAAACCCATGGGCAGTTTCAAATTCACTGGAACTCATGCCGCTGCTGGAGTCCTCTCCACATGGATCATGGCTCTTGCTTGTGCAGCACCCCCACTTTTTGGGTGGTCCAGGTAAACCTTTGTTGACCCAAATTGATCTAATGAATATTTTTATTAGCTCTGCAAGAAAAAAAAGTTTTCAATCACAGTAGAGGTTAAACTACACTTGTCTCTTATTTATTTTTTGCGTGTATTCACATCATTTTATTGTTGGACATGTTGTACAGGTACCTTCCTGAAGGCATGCAGTGCTCCTGCGGACCTGACTATTACACCTTGGCTCCAGGATACAACAATGAATCTTATGTCATCTACCTGTTTGTGGTTCACTTCTTCGTTCCTGTTTTTCTGATTTTATTCACCTATGGAAGCCTTGTCATGACAGTCAAAGCTGTAAGTAAAAAATATGCAAGTAACCTCTTACAGCAATTCCTTGTGATTAAGTTGTTATGCACTAACTGAAGGAGCTGTTTAAGTGTTTAATAAGTCATTTCCACACTAAACTCTGCAGGCCGCAGCTCAGCAGCAGGATTCAGCTTCTACTCAGAAAGCTGAGAAGGAGGTAACACGTATGTGTGTCTTGATGGTGTTGGGTTTCCTGGTAGCCTGGTTGCCATATGCAGCTTTTGCCGGCTGGATCTTTCTTAACAAAGGAGCAGCTTTCTCAGCTCTGACTGCCTCAATACCTGCTTTCTTTGCAAAGAGCTCTGCCCTGTACAATCCAGTTATCTATGTGCTGATGAACAAACAGGTTGGTTATTCTGCAGACTCCCGAGTCCATGTTTCATGCATTTATATGTGCTGTCTGAACCGCTGTCCTTGCTCTGTCTTTTAGTTTCGTAACTGCATGCTCAGCACCATTGGAATGGGCGGCATGGTGGAGGATGAGACCTCAATTACAACTAGCAAGACAGAAGTCTCTACTGCTGCTTAAAGACCAATTGTCTTATTAACCATTTAACAGTTGGTTTGGGCTAAAACCTGCCCCATGAGCCTCTAGGGCAGTTTGGTGGCCAGTGGATTGTTAATGAATGATGATCTTTTTAAATCTGTGGGCACGTCCTTGAAGAATAGCTTTTTGAGTTTAATAGAGCCCAACCAAAAACAAATACTTTTGCCAAATTATTTCATGAATTAAACAACTTAGGACCAAGGAATTTGCTCATGTTTGGCTATGCATGGAAAGTATCAAGTGTAAATTTTATTTTTGAGTTAATTTTGTACAGCAGCTTTACGAATGAATGTCTAAGTATGTATGACTAAACTTGGATCTCCCTGAACACCTCTACTATATACACAGGATGTGAACCACTGAAAACCTTTAATTGTTGAATGTGCAATAAAGTATGAAGTGTTTCTTTGTAATTATGAGAAAATATGTGTAACTGGTCAAGAGTGACATTATTTTTATGCATTTTGAAAAAACAAACAAAAACAACACATAATGTTGACTAGACAATAAATGCATTATCAGAAACAGTGTGGTTGTTTTTTTGTTGCTTACGAAGCTGATATTTGACAATAGAATGCAAATCATTCTTAAAATAAGTAATAACTATTTTGCATGTTCTTTTCTGTACCAACTTAAGACGGTAAAACATTCATTATATTACATTTTTTTCCGTATTTAGTAAGTTCTCTTGTCCAGTTTTAACATGTTCCCTGTCTTGCTCCTTATAACTAAAACAAATCTCATATTTCATTTGGGACCATGAACAATCAAAGAATATCTTAGTTTTCTTAAATTCCTAAATATACAGTGAGGAAAATAAGTATTTGAACATCCTGCTCTTTTGCAAGTTCTCCCACTTAAAAATTATTGGGTGGTCTGAAATTGTCATCATAGGTGCATGTTCTCTGTGAGAGACATAATCTAAAAAGATAAAATCCAGAAATCACAATGTATGATTTTTTACACTATTAGTTGTATTATATGGCTGAAAAGAAACATTTGAACACCTGAAAAAAAACTATGTTAATATTTGGTAAAGTAGCCTTTGCTTGCATTTAAAGATATTAAACGTTCCCTGTAGTTTTTCACCAGGTTTGCACACAATGCAGGGATTTTGGCCCACTCCTCCACACAGATCTTCTCTAGATCAGTGAGGTTTCTGGGCTGTCACTGAAAAACATGGTATGAGCTCCAAATAAATATTTGAACACCCTGCTATTTTGCAAGATCTCCCACTTCGAAATCATACAGGGTTCTGAAATTGTCATCGTAGATGCTTGCCCACTGGAGTTTTTTAAAAAAAATCCATGAAAATTTTTTTTTTGTTTGTTTGTTTCTTTTAATTATGGTGTTCAGGAGGTCAAAAAAACATTTATTATATTTTCCTATTCTCTAAAAATTTGTGTAATAAGAAATGTAAACAATAAAAGTAAACATTTTAGTGGAAGTGAGAAAAAAAGTGTGATTGAAGAACTGCTGGATAAATTAGGGGAAAGCAAAGATAGATTTAAGAAGTGAATTGCATCTGCTAACTCATCTACTGCTGCTAGCTTTATTGCAAACACGGAAAACCGTTCACAGATCTAACAGCTAGCGCTCTTATGCAGGTATGTGAATATTCTTCAACCCCCCCCAAAATCCTCGAAATAAATGTTACCAGTTAAAAAATGTCAAGTTCTGGTTGTAGTTTGAGTAACCAAATGTAGAGGCAGAGGTGAGTTCTTGAAGTTTTTTAATTAATTAACACAGATAACAGAGGCAGGAATCCAAGAATCTAACATGAAAAATGTAAAACAAACCAGAACCATGGAGACATCAGGGGAAAACAACCATGAGGATCCAGGGAGAGATGGGAAAAGACGAAGTAACATGAAGTAAGACAAGGAACCAACACTGAGGAACTATACAAGGAGAGTATTTATGGTAGACTGAATAAAAGAGAGGACTAACGAGCAGATTTGGAGCAGGTGTGAAGGGAGCAGTCTGGGAAGGAGCTACATGTAGGGAAAAGAAGACCAAAACAATAAAACTAGAAAACATGGAGCAAAGTGAAACATAACAGAACCAAGACCGTGACAAAAAATGGGTGCATGTCAAAAATGTATTTTGTAAACCCTGTTTTACTTTTTTTTCACTGACTGGTTGTAGTTCGTTTTTGTCAGCATTTGGAAGTACAAAAAAACCCGTCTTGGTTGTGTACCAACACTCTAAAGGGCTTGTTAAACTCCTGCAGCAGTGTGTCGCAGTGAGCTTGTCGCAGATACTTTTGATTGATGCCCAAAATTGAAGCGAGGTCTGTGCTATGTTATTCCTCACCACAAAGCAAGAGGGAAAATCACGAACTAGCTCTTGGTCTAGATTAAACTTGCCCCCACTTCTTCACCGCTGAGGCGGTGAAGAAGTGGGGGCAAGTTTGTGCAACAACGGAGAGAGATGAAGGCGAAAAAGAGCGGGACCTGTTGGAGAAGACAACTCTGTGGCCACATTAGCAAAGGATCCAGGTGTTGTAGGTGCCAATGCTATTTATTTATATGCTTTGTTTAGATTTCAGTTTTTTATGTGAAGCTGCATTGCTACTCTGTTGAGTGCTGAAAATGTTGTTAGCCCACCATTTCACAGGAGCTAAGGATCTCTGCTGATAAAATTCGGGTAATTCATTTCTCTATATTTCAGAACCTCATTCTTTTTCATTTTTTGCAACTCAGAGGGATGTGTTTTTTTTTTTTTTTTAATAAAGAACCCCTGTAATTTGAAGCTACGTGTGCTGTATTAATCCTGGCTTTATAAAAATTATACCCTAGGAATGCTGGTGATGGAGGATTTGGGATTTTGGGGTTAGAGAGCACTACTCTGATGAATATCAGTTCCTGCTTGGTTCCTCATGACTCAATCAACTTCTCCCAACAGAAACACATCCACCATAGATTGCTATTCCATGTTTCCATCAACTTAAATGACTGAATATCATACAGCAGAGTAGTCATATGATGTGACATTTGCTCCAGGATAAACATTTAATCATGAATGCTTATTATATCTTCAGCCCACATAGTCCTTTTTTTTTTATAGCGGGCTAATACATTTAGAGCCTGTGCTGCCATACAAGGCTTATATAAGACTTTTACATTTTGTGGTTCCTGAGAGATTGTTTTTTTGGTCCAATATGGCTCTTTGAATAGCTAGGTTGCCGATCCCTTCAATAGAGGTTAACTGCAGAAGATCAAATGAGGACTGAAGTAGATTAGATAAGTCTGAAAAGAGCATTACAGGCAGGGAGGCCTCATGGTTTTGTGAGATTTCCCATCTAACATCTAATTTTTTCTGGGGGGAAATCTATTTGTGTATGAGGTGATGTGCTTGCCTTATGGCTGTACAACGCATGGCAGCTATCAATGGACACCAGCTGTGCTATGCTGAAGCAGGCAAACCTCTAAAACCGGACAGTGGCCCTCAAGGGCTGACTTTGACATGCTTGCCCTAAATAAAGTCTAGCGTAGCCAACTGCCTTCTGGGGCCATTTAAAGAGTTTGCTAGGAAACAGATCAAATAAATGTACTCTAAATGTGAGATGTTGCCTCAGCATTAGTATCAAACCATTTTTAAACTTATTACTTATCTTTACCAGGGGTGTTTAAAAAGTGTTTTAAGTACTGGATGTGATTTCACCGAGAACCTGGAAGCATGTCTTTTTGAAATAATAATCCACTTTGTTTGAGGCGGCCGGATCCTATTACAACTTTACTACTAGCTTGTGTATTACATCTGTTAATGGTAAGCCAACTGATCCAGGTCAAGAGGATCCGGAGCGCTGCAGTTATATTCTCTTTGGCTTCAGGTAAAAAAACAGGGATAATGTTCTTATTCAATTAGACAAACCAGAAACCTATTTTCTTGTTTATCGATTTGCAAATTGCATTTACTTAAGGTTAGCATTAGAAGGCCCTTGGTTAAAGATTACTGTTTTAATGACAGTCACTTACAGTGAGCCCGTAAATTCTCATCAACCTAAACCTGCTTAGCATTGCTGACAAATAGATTACATACACACAGGTGTAATTTATACATGTAGAGTACACCTTTTCCTGTATGGCCATCTGAGTAAGAATCATTTTTCTTATTTCACCAGTAAAGTTAAGTCTGTTTGTTTTAAAGTGAGGACATTTTTCTAATCCTCACAAGTTATTTTGCAAGCTGTTAGGGCTTAGCTATAAGGTGTAAATTGAATTTAGGCTTAGTAATGCTCTGGTAAGGGTTAGGTTTAGGTTTATGTCAGATTAGGGAATAAACAGGTTGAAAATCACTGAAAATCCATGGACGTCAATGGGAATAAACACAGTCTTCATTACATATAGCAAGACAAGAATGTGTGATGTGTAGCCATGTTTCTGTTACATTTATGAAAATCTTCCAAGAAACATACTGCATTTTGGGGACTTGTAGGTACTCGGGGTGGACTAAAAGTGGTTCTTTATTTCCAACTTATTCGCTTTCATAGTTCCAATTTTTATTTTTTTTTTTACTTCTGCACTAATTTATTTTTTAAAGAAAACAGTTTTGATCATGATCTTTATTTCTTTGGCAGGAAAATTACTTTAACTGTCGGAAGCAGTTTTATTTTTAGTATAGATATAGCAGGACCCTCCGTGTTCTATCTATTATAGATAGATAATTTTCATTATCTAATATAGATAGATCATTTTCATTATCTATCTATACACACATTATTTCATATGTGAAATAATGTGTGTATTGCACAATGCAGTATCAGTTTTAGGATAGCTCTTCATCCTGTTTGATGTATAAATTGATGACAGACAGACAGACAGACAGACAGACAGACAGACAGACAGACAGACAGACAGACAGAAACACAGATCCACAAAATGAACACTAAAGATATTTGCACTCCCAGCTAGATTTTAAGCTTTTCTCTCTTGTCCAAGTATTTATCTTTCTATAAATACTCATACTTTTATAAAATATTACACCATATAAGGATGTATTGTTTTTCTCAGGGCTATTTATGCACAAAGGGTGTACCTGTCATGCTTTTTCAACCTCAAATGGAAATCTTTTTAAAAACATTTACAGATTTTAAATTTTTATTCTAGCCAACAAGATCAAGTATTTTGACTATGAACAATCACTTTACATTTTTTTATTTTTTTTTTACCTATCAAGCTAATTTTGGAATAATCCTCCTAATTTTTGCGTCTTACTTTCTTTAGAAGGTTAAACAGCCCTTGTTGGATCACACATAAACTCCAGATAAGGCCTCTCCACCTGTGTCTTATCATTGAGCTTCAGTTTCTCATTTAAAAGCAGTCCATAAACGGTTAGCTGAGGTTGATTCACAGAGATGAAAGCCACCACAGAGCCGGATCAGATGTTCTGTATCTAACTTATATTCGCTTATTGCACCAAGCAGTCTTATACGTTGCTCTATTGTGTGCTCTATTGTCTGCTATTGTTTATAAGCAGAAAACATTTTCAATGCTTTTTAAATACATTATATGCAATAAATGCCTATTTTAAATCCAGGTGAATAAAAAGATCAAGGGAAAATTAGGGGGGGAAAAAGTTTCCTTGCAGCAGATCCAATTGTGTATTACCACTTGCAGATGATAGCTTTGCTCTGTATTCAGATTAATATCCTACTGATCATCAAATTGTGAATACTCAAGCCTTCTTTTTTGTTTACATATAAGTTATCCTGATCTAGATTTGCTCAGGTTTTTGTCCAGAGTTCTGTGGACAGGTGACCTAACCCAGAGGTATGTTGTGTAGGATGTGACACCCCTCTGCTGGTCAGATGTAGAATAATTCTCTATGGCAATATGACCTTTCTAAATTATTATGACTGTTTAGTTGCAGATGCATTTTTTTTTATCAAAAGGATGACACAAACATCAACTTATCTGTTGAAATAATAAATCAGCAAATTATGTCCGTTTTAGATGCAGGTTAAATTCTTACTTTTACCCCTAAGTTAGAAAAGGAAGGAAATAAAGCATAAAATGACAGTTTCTTGTGTTTTTTTTGGTACTTGCATTCAAATATTATAACATACTTGTTATACATCCATGCTCAGTTGTCATCACCGAGCACCTTAAAAAGGATTAAAGAGACCAAAAAAATATAATGAATGCTCAGTTCAAAGAGGGGTAATCTTAAGATAAGGCCCATTAACCAGACTAACATAAAAGACTGTAATTGCCATAATTTGCAGTTTTCAGCCTCCTGTTCTGTTTAGACGCTCTGAATTGGACTGTTATTGAAAGTGAGATGTTTATATAGATGTATCAAACAGTGTTATATATGTATTTATTTGTTTATTTAGTAATTATCTTATGTTAGTTGCTAAAGCGAATATTCACACTCTCAGTGTTTATCCCTGGTTAAAGAAACTGTAACTCCCTATGTCCTAATCAGATTAACCTCAGTATCCCCTTGCCCTCCGATGGCCGTGCCACAGCATACCGTATCAAAAGCTTACTACAAGAAGTAGACAACTAGTTGGTTTTTTTAATCTATCAAGGCAACCCATTACCAGGTTATGTTTATTGAGACAGTATATTTTTTACCAGAAATTGAAAAGTGCCACAAAAAAAAATGCAAGATCCATTTGGTAAAGATGTGGTTTTGTGTTTAATAATGTGATAATATTGTATTTTGGGATGTTTTTTTTTTTCTACATTTCTCTAAACAATCTTTGCTGCATGGGTCTGTTTAGCAATACCATGGTTAAATGCATAGTTGTCCACCAAAAAATTGGGCCTTTTCTGGATGGAATATGCATATTGATTCCATGTATTGGGTGATATTCTTTGGGGTACTCCAGCTTCTTCCCAATCTTTTTTGACTGTGGATGGAAATTTAAATGCCCACGAAAGTTTTTTTTTCTCTGTTATCTTTTTCTTTTTTATAATGTTAAATGTAAATTCGGCATAGGTGTTGCACACATTCAATGAGTAAAGAAATATCTCACCAACAAACACATCATTCACATAAGCTATCATTTTGTTAAAGATGCAGTTTTTGTATAAGTTATTGACTTACTAGTTTTGCTAGTGTCTGTCTGTGGAGATGGGGAACAACGTGGGATCTGAGCTGAAGTGTTGTACGAGTGTTTTTAAATGTAAGAAACTGTAAAGGAAAAACATTGGAATGTCATAACAGAAATGAAGGCAAAATATATAAGACAGGATATTATTGGATATTTTTGGGTATGATATGTCAATAATTTATCAAGTTAGGATTGGTGTTCATAAAACAGCTGTTTTTTTCTAGTTCAATTTTTTATAATTTTTTTTCCTCATTTTTTTTGTATTGGTAAAAAGACAGAACAAAAAGACAAACAAACTTGTTAGATAATGGCGTCAGCAAAATAAATAAATACATGAACATAAGGTGCATGTTAGTTATTTGTATTTTCTAGATGATCTTGAGCTTTCATTCTACAGTAGCTAGTGTATCATGGCAACAGTCGCTGCTAGAGGTTGGACTGCTATCATGGTGAGGAGAGCTTCCTGTTCCGGTAGTGAGAGGAAAGGACATCTAAAAAGCGAGGTAGTAGTTATACCCTACAGCACCAGCTGTGAGGGTGCTTCACGCCGTGTGTAGGTTGTAGTGAGTAGGGGGAGGGAGTAGCCACTGATTGGGAAATTACCCATTATCATGTCATAAGGGCAGGCCACATTTGAACACACAACCATCTTGTTGCAAGTAGAAAAGAAGAAGACAATATTTTGGCATTATTGTTTTGCTAAATGTACTGCAATTAGTTGCCTGTAAGATTATCTTATCTTTATTGTTTTCATTTAAGTAAGAACACAGGTGAAAAAATGTCGCTCATTTTTTTTTTAGACATTTTGACACCTATTCAGGAGTCTTTGTCAATTCTGTTGACTTGCACCTCAGCAAACTCTAGTTGGAGGGCTGATGTATTTAAGCAGCATGGAAGACCAACATCCTGCACAGACATTTTAAGTTAGATGCTAATCAAACCGCCACCCTTTGTTCGTTTGCATTGCTGGAGCCTTTTAATGTGCATGTGCTCTGTGATTGGTCTTTTTTGATGGTACTCAACTTCTGAAACACTGTTGTAAAACAAGATAAGGATAGCTAGCCCTGTACAGCCGCCCTGCTAAAATAACCTGTTTGTTGTGATTAACAATTATTCTGGCATACAGTATATTTCATATTATATACACTCTTATTCAGTGTTTCATAAAGTAAGCATAGACAACACAAACACAAAAAGGTTGGTACTTTTCTGTGGTTGTGTTGTCTATGCTTACTTTAGCGATATTTGTTTGTTTTTTTACCTCTACAATTCCTGTAGCTCTGATAAGAAGGTTTTGCTCCTTGCAGATTCTTCTATATTGTCTGTTTGGGCCACACTTAGATTTATTACATTTTAAAAGCAAATTTAATGTCAGGAAAAGAAAAATAAGTTTAAAAATGAAAGGAACATGGCTCTGTTTGAGCAAATAATGCTGGATTTGTTAAATTTCTAAAAATGTGATTAACCATTCTCTTTAAAAAAAAAAAACATTACTAGCAGTACACAGCCACTAATAAACATAAGAAACCACTAGAATTATTATTTCACATTGACTATGTCCTCTGTTTAAGGTTTCAGAAACTGAGCCATGTGGATATCCACTCTGGATGTATGAAGGATTCATTGAGGCATTCGGACATCCAACCTTTTGAAATATAGTATAACAGTTTTACTCTTCCTGTGTCTGATATCCTGTCCAGCTAATGCGTTCTTCATTAATTTATGGTTTGCTTCATCACCCTTAAAGAAAAAAGACTTGATATCTTTCTCTAACGGACAACAGAATGTTTATACCCTAGCCCTACAGATCAAATGGGAATTACAAACTATATTAACTTCTATTTGTTTCTGCAAAATACATTAATGATGATGTAGTCTGTGCGAACTGGGGATTAGGCTACTTTTGACAACTGGAAGAATACTTAAAAATTATAAAAGCAAATCATTATTCCTAAAGAAATTATAGAGCAATAAAATAACAAAGTCAATGCCTTCTATCAGTGTATGAAGTGTAAAGATGGTATTTCTATGATTTGGGGGCTCTCATAAAGTATAGTGAGAGTTGTTATTCACTAAATAAATACAATATGGAAAAGTGGGTGTGCTACTAAAGTTATTTTTGTCCTGATGTTTGCATCAGGAAAAACAATTACCGGTATGTATAGATACAAATGCATGCATGTTCGCAAACATGGTTGGGACAGGGTTGAGGGACCCGAAAACTAGTCTCTCTAGTTTATGGCCAAGAGCTGTTTTTTATTTTATTTTTATTTTATTTTATTTTAATTTTTTTAACAAAAAACAATTGTAAAGAAAAACTGCACATAGGCTTGATATTTAATGTACAAAAAATACTTTCCAATATTATCATTTTATTTATCTAATTTTAGCCTCACCTCCCTTTTACAACAAAATAGTTTGATCACTGAAATGGCTTCTCTAAAGTTTAGATAAAGCTACTATAGTGAAAAGCAGAAGCTCTCTGTTTTCCGGGTATAGACAGGAAAATACAGATCCTGAACATAAATATAAATTAGGTTTAGGTTATGGTTAGGATTAAACAGGCACTTTAATCTTTAGGTTGAAGGTTAACTCACAGTTTGGGCATAAAAAGGATAGAACATGACAAAAGATGAATGGATGTCAATGTGATTCTACGCTCAATGCATATAGCAAGACACAAATGCATATTAGTGTGCGTGAGTACTTGTGAAATTTATTTAACTACAAAAATAAAGTCCTTATCTCCTATCCCTAAGAAAGGATTACCCCTGCTAGGGAACTGAAGTGAGACCTTTTCTGGTTAAAACTAATGGCTTCTAAAGAGCATCATGTGAATAATTCTTATTGTCAAGTAAAAAAAAAAAAAAAACTGCTCTGCAAAACATCTTAAAGTGTTTAGACACATTATTCCTTTTTAACTGCTCTATAACAGATGCATTTTACAGCAACCAATATAGTATAATTGTAATAGGTGTGCTGTAGTTTATAGTCATTAGATTTACCTAACGACTGTTTATCAGGGATTGGAGGCTGAGTCTCAAGCTGATGGGGGATAGTGAACCCTAAGGTCATTGTCCTGCGGTGCTTTCTTAAAGTCAATTATCCGTCAGACTTGAGCTGGTCACTTCCGCACAATCCTCCGGTAATCTAATTTTACTAATGTGGGGATAACCCTGATGAGGTATAAAACATCCGAGTCCACAGCAGCCAGTGTCGGGTTGGCATTGATCACTTTAAGGCTTTAGACACATCTATCACCTAAATCTACCACACACAAGACAACCAAAGATGGGCTGGGATGGAGGATACGAGCCCAATGGCACTGAGGGAAAAAACTTCTACATACCGATGTCCAACAAAACCGGAATTGTCCGAAGTCCCTTTGAATACCCACAGTACTACATGGTGGACCCAATGATCTACAAGGTCCTAGCCTTCTACATGTTCTTTCTGATCTGCACTGGAACTCCCATAAATGGACTGACATTGTTTGTAACAGCTCAAAACAAGAAATTACGGCAGCCTCTCAACTACATCCTTGTAAATCTGGCCGTGGCCGGACTCATCATGTGCTGCTTTGGCTTCACCATCACTATTACATCCGCTGTAAATGGATACTTCATTCTTGGACCCACTTTTTGTGGTATTGAGGGATTCATGGCAACACTTGGGGGTAAGATGAAAGCTCCTAGAAATGCGTTAGGAATCATATTTCAATGGTTGACCAATGTTAATCAGTAGAAAATATTTTTTTCTCGCTACAGGTGAAGTGGCTCTCTGGTCCTTGGTTGTGCTTGCTATTGAGAGATATATTGTCGTATGCAAACCCATGGGCAGTTTCAAATTCACTGGAACTCATGCTGCCGCTGGAGTTCTTTCCACCTGGATCATGGCTCTTGCTTGTGCAGCACCCCCACTTTTCGGGTGGTCCAGGTAAACCTTTGGTTAAGCAAAATCTATTGAATCAAGATTACAAGAGAAGAAAAATAGATGCAAGTTACCATGGAGACTAAACTTCCTTATTTTCTATTATTTTTGTATTTATTCGCATCGTTTTATTGTTGGACATGTTGTACAGGTACATTCCTGAAGGAATGCAGTGCTCCTGCGGACCTGACTATTACACTTTGGCTCCAGGATACAACAATGAATCTTATGTCATCTACATGTTTGTGGTTCACTTCTTCATTCCTGTTTTCCTGATTTTCTTCGCTTATGGAAGCCTTGTCATGACAGTCAAAGCTGTAAGTGGAATTTGCACAAGTTACCTCTCACAGCAATGCTTCTAGATTAAATTATTATGCTCCTACTGAAAGAGCTGCTTACCTGTTTAATAACCCATTCCCTTACTAAACTCTACAGGCCGCAGCTCAGCAGCAAGATTCAGCTTCTACACAGAAAGCTGAGAAGGAGGTAACACGAATGTGTCTCTTGATGGTGTTGGGCTTCCTGGTAGCCTGGACACCATATGCAACTTTTGCTGGCTGGATCTTTCTAAACAAAGGAGCAGCTTTCACAGCTCTGACTGCTGCCTTACCTGCTTTCTTTGCTAAAAGCTCAGCACTGTACAATCCTGTTATCTATGTGCTGATGAACAAACAGGTTGGTAAATTGCTCCAACTTCAAAATAGGTTTTCTGTTTAGTTTATGCATTCATTTGCACTTTCTTAAATATTGCCCTTGCTCTGTCTTTCAGTTCCGTAACTGCATGCTCAGCACCATTGGAATGGGCGGCATGGTGGAGGATGAGACCTCAGTTTCAACTAGCAAGACAGAAGTCTCAACTGCTGCTTAAGGACCCCTTGTCTTAATCATGATGATGTCTTCAAGTCTTTGGACAAGTTTCTGAAGAATTATTTTATGATATTTATTGACCACTCCAAAAAGAAACTTTTGCCAAATGGATTCATGGATTTATTAACTGAGGAACAAGGAATTCTGTCTCATCTGCTTATACATGTAAAGTATCAAGTACCTCAGAGTAATCTTCTATAGCAGCTGTGGGAATGTGTGCCTGTGAGAGCGTATGTTAATGAATGCATGGCTGAATTTGGATCTACCTGAGCACCTCATACTGTATATACACAGGCTTTGAATCGCTGTTCCTGAACCCATTAATTGCTGAATGTTCAAACAAGTGTGGGATGTTTGTTACTCTGTAAGGTAAAACGTTTTATTGGTTTACCAGCTGCATTATTTTTTGCATTTTTTGAAAAAGATAAAAAAAAAAAATACATAGTGTTGGTTAGACAATAAATGCATGCATCAAAAGAAACACGTGTTTGTTTATTTTTGGTTTAAAAATATTATATTTGGTGTAATTACAATACACAGTGTTCTTAGATTATACTGTAAATAATCTTCAGGGAATGACAGTTGCCAAATTAACATGAACGGTGTTGTTATTTCTAAACACGGATATATTTCAAAGCATCACAGCACATTATTTGTTTACCTTTTAATTTACGTTTTCATTTCAATACTGACAGTAATGTTAATGTGAAGTGCAACTACAGATATTCACTAATGAAGTCATAAAAGTCACCCCAAATTTTAAGGCTCAGGTCATGTTAATGTCATAAAAAACACAAGATAGCTTTAAATATTAATTTAGTGCAAACAATACTATACTAAGTGTTTCCCAACCTTATTTGACTTGTGTACCATGAGTACCACTCTCAGTCAAAAGTATTGATGACTGTCCAAAAGTGGAATGTACAGTAACTGATTATAACACAGAAATGTTATGCTTTCCATCTCTAATAAAAACGCAACATAAATGTTGCCTGGAAGTTTGTAAGGAGTTCAAATAAATCCAAAAGAAAATCCTCTTATCAACCTGCATTTATAAAACTGGAGTTCCTCTGAATAATTCTCTTATAATCACATTTAAACTTCATGAATTTGGAACAAAATACAAAACAGAAATTGTAATCACTTAATTACTTTTACTTTGTTTTCATCAAGACACCTGAGCTTGTTTGATGAGCTCTGATAGATCAGTGTTAAAAACAGCTGTCTGTTCCTCTGCTTGGTTCGGATGTGTGTCAAAGCTAAAGGTGAGCTCAATAATATAAGAAAAATGTACGTTTTGGTTGATAAAAGCTAATTAGATTTTACAATTTGGTATTTTCATGTGCCCCTTGCAATGCATCACAGTTGGGAATCATCCAGTAGGGAATCACTGCAAGAAACATGTTTTGTTTTTTTGTTTTTTTTTTTAACCAGACATGGGGTACAGTTGTTTTTCTACTTTAATAGCCTGAGGGATGGCAGGACAGAAAAAGAAATCACAAACATTGAAGCCTTTGCCAATGAGAACCTGGAAAAAGAAGAGTCAGGCTTTATTTTAGAAACTGTAATGGTACTCTATATAGAAATGCTGAGACATTTAGGAGAGATACTCAGATCATCTAATCCCTCACAGGTCTTATCTGATATTGTTGCGGTGAGACTCCAAATTAGAAACCATAACAGACATTCCAGAATATGTATCTAGCTCACTGGAGGCAGAGTTAGGAGTGATGAGTATCGAAAAAGAGTAGCTAAGGGCAGAAAAAAAAAAATCTATTATTTGGCTTGTCATCTTGTATTGAAAAATTTACAAAATTCAGTTTGTCATTTGAAGGGGCCAGAAAATGCGGTCAGGTCACTGCTCCTGCAGGCCAACCTTGGTTTTACTATAAGTCACTATTAGTATATCTAGATACAACACTAGGGGGTTGGACCAACTATAAATTTTATTAAAGTAAAGGTATAGAGGATGATCTTTTATTTCCAGGTTGATCATCTAAGTAAGTGGTCCTCCTTATTGTCAATCATTCTTGTGATATGTTCACGCAACGCTACGTGCTCATCCCATTAGCTATCTTTTCCAACACATGCGCACTTTCAGGCGTATGTCTGTGGTGAACTACAGTTTCAGTCAATCATTTAAGCTCACCTTTCTCAACGTGGTTCTTTGAAAATTACAGAGGGTCATAAGAGAGAAAGTGTCTATGAAGTGTATGAGAAGAAAAGAAAGGCCTCATAAGATAGATATAGATAGATGTATCCTGGCATGCAGATATATCCTCGAATGCTTTGCACAGAGAGCTTTCCTCGCAATGCATCATAGGATTTGTTGTCACAGCAGCCCACTGTCCCTATAGGCTGTCACTACTAGACAGCGGCGACTAATAACAAAGATGGGACAGGCACAGTGTATTGGGGGAGGAGTTGCGTGACCAACGGAGCAAAAGGCAGTGATCATCTGTCCAAACGGTAAGTTAACTGAGTTTGCTATAAAGTCCACTATATAGTCCCCGCTCTATATAGTGATCAGAGATATAGGGGTAAAGGTGGACGTTCGGGCACAGTAAGCTTATATGAGCTATGAGAACAGCAACTTTTAAACAGAGCATACACAAGGAAAAATGGGCTGGTGCATGCTCTCGCATGCTTTTAACCGGCGTTCTCTCTCGGGGACAGGTACAGGGTTGTGCATGTGCATTATTTTAAAGTGGAGAGGGTGGGTCTTTTAACAAATTTGCAAAAATCCTCCACAATACCTTTAAACAGTCTTTATAGGTATAACTTCCAATTGAAAACACGGAAGAGAATCTTTCTTTACTTAGTTCATCAACAAAAGTATTAAAATGCATTAACTTTAGTTGCCACAACTGAAAGGTTAACTATAACATCTGAATTAGACTCTTCCTAGAAATGACCGACCACTTTGATGTCTTCCAATCAATTGATGATTGATGATGATTGATGATGATTCCAATGACTCAACGATTCGATTATTTTCGAATCCTCAAAAATACACCACGATTCGATTAATTGGATAATTTTTTTTTCACCTTACAGGTCAGACAATGTTTCAAATTTGAAATAAATCAATGATAGCTGTAATATAGTTATGCATTTTATTTGAGAAAGAACAGCAAATAACAGAAGTAGCAAAGTTGTACTCCACCTATGGCCTATGAAACCCTAATTCAATGAAAAATAATAATGCCTCTGTGTTTATGCGAGTGTGTGTGTGTGCAAGTGGAAAGAGGGTAGTGGCTAAAGGAAGCCAGGTAGGAGGGCAAAATAGGTTTAGCCCCACTGCAGCACGGGAGTCAGAATTACCTGGATAAAAATAGACCGGAGGAAAAAAAAAAAAACAACCATGAATCGATACTCTAGCGGATGTGTCGATGCATCGGACCGTCGGCTGTTGGATCGATGCATCGATACAAAAGCATTATTATTTACACCCCTAATAAGCATTCATGAGTTCTCATGAGCATTCATGATCATTCGTGACTACTCTGCTGTACGATATATCTTGCTTTAAATTAAAATTTAATTACAATAGTAATGTATTAGGTTATTTTGCATTTATGAAATTTTAGAAACACAATAACAAAATCAGATTTTTTTGTGTTATTTTTATTTTGAGGATATTGGGGAAAAGATGGAAGAAATTCACATACCTGGATAAGAGTGTTACCTGTTCGATCTGTGAGCGGTTTTCCATTCTTGAAACGAAACTAGAAGCAGAAGTGGAGGTTGGGGATTCAATCCACTTAAATCTATCTTTGCGCTCCTCTAATTTATCGAGAAGTTCTGCAATCGCACTTTTTTCTCACTCCCAACTTGGTAGTCGGCTGCATATTTAGCATGTCTTCCCTGAAAATGCATTTCCAAATTACTCTTTTTATTACTTGCCAACTTCTCAATACAAAGCAAACATGCAGGTAATCTTTCCACATTGGTAATGAAATGCAAATGATTCGGTCCAATCTTCTTTTAATCCTCTGTCCTCATCAGCTATCTTCTTTTTTTCCCCTTTGAGATCCATGGTCCGAGACACATCCCCCTGTTTGTCTAGAACAGCCACCTACCAGGACCACAGGCTGAAATGTTTGTTGCGGGGCTGGGACACAAATCTTCGTTGACAGAAATTATTACATTTATTGTTTAAATGTATTTATTATACAAATTGTTACAGCATTGGAAAACATAATGAATGTTTGTTTGACCTCCTGCTAACCATATTAAAGCAAATAAACAAAAGAAAAACTTTTTCCATTTTTATACATTTCTGAAAAACCTCAAGGGAGCCGCAAGGTGGGCATTAAAGAGCTACATGCGGCTGTGGAGCTTCGGATTAGCAAACCCCTGATCTAAAGGATTGATCATTAGTAAATCTAATGCTTTATAACCACCCTTGGTTAGATTTCCCTGCCAACAAATGGAAGGCATAAATACATTTCTCAAAATGTTAAACTCGGGTTCCGTTTCAAAACAGGTTTCAAAAAATTACATTTATATCCTTAACTCTAGATTGATCAAGCCTAAGTTTTGAAACTCAACTCTTTTCATAAAAGCTGCTGTGAGTTAATTTAAGCAACTCTAAGTAGGTCCACCTGCCATTGTAACCACTATAACATTACTGGGAAAACTAGTTTATTGCTTAAATGGTGGTGGATCATTGTATTTTATTTAGGTGAAATCAGGAGAAGATGAAGACTAATAATGTTCTAACAGGTACGAACTGTGCACCGTGTCATTGGGTTCCTCCTCATGTTGATTCTGTCTCCCATCAGACAACAAATACTAAGTGACTGTTCGCAGCACCTTTGGATGTTATCATCCCATCGTGCCTACCTACTAGTAGGCTTGGTACAGTAAGTTGTTATCACCAAATGAATCCTAATCCTAACCATAAAGTAAGTCATTTTTCCCAGTGGAATTAATCTACTTATGTGTAATCAGAATTTTCAGTAGTTATTGATATATTGTAATTAAAAATATAATGATAATAATCTTCCAAATGCTTATATTAAACAAACCAAACCAAATACAAATAAATTTTATATCCTGTTGTTGTGATTCTATAGTTAAATTCTATTCCCAGTCCGCTGGGAATTTATGTTTCTGATACTTTAAGATGTTTATTGCCCTCCCCTGTAGGGGTGGTAAAATATCTTATTTAATCAGGTAGTATTTCAGCTGTTATATACTGTTTATGACACACAGTCCTACTAACTGTGTGTTAGAACAAGAAATGAAAGAGTGATTCGAGCACTAATCATGGTCAAACAGTTATTTCTGCACATACATGGAATAAATTCACCACAACTTCTGTTCAAAATATGAGTTTATTAACAAAAATCATTCAGCTCCAAGTCAAACATATTTCAGTTTAACACTCTCAACTAAGACTAGTAAAACTCAACTAAACTAAACTAACTACTATGTACAAAGAGGAAGGGGAAAACGGTTGAAAAACATATTACA